ACAGCTGATCCCTCCTTAGAGAGGTGACAACACAGTTAAGTGGCTGTGGGGATGCACCGGGCAGCACAGCACAGAGATGGGACATTCTGCTCAACAGGGTTCTGAAAGCCCACACTGCTCACCTTAGTGGCATTCACTCTGATTTAGAGCAACTCTGACTTAAATGGCCATATACACAGAATAAATTAAGGTTGGAAAAGACCTCCAAGATCATCCGGTCCAGCCATCAACCCATAGCCACCGTGCCCTCTAACTACACCCCTCAGTGCCACATCTCCATGGCTCTTGAACATCTTTGGGGACAGTGATGCCACCACCTCCCTGGGCAGTCTGTTCCAATGCTTCACTACACTTCCTCAGAAGAAATTGCTCCTAATATGCAACGTGAGTGTCCCCTGGCACAACTTGAAGCCAATCTCTCTCATCCTACCTGAGAGAAGAGGCTGATCCCCAGCTTGCCACAACCTCCCTTCAGGGAGCTGTAGAGAGCCGTGAGGTCTCCCCTGAGCCTCCTTTTCTCTCAACTGAACAATCCCAGCTCCCTCAGCTGCTCCTCCTAAGATTTGTGCTCTGCTGCACCCTGCACACCAAAGGAGATGTGGGATGCACGGCAAGGCTTCTATCAGCACAGAGGAAGAGGAAAGGCCTGTCCTTGTAGTGCAGCAAATAATAGAAATTTCATGCTTTAATTCCTGTTGCTCAAGATTTATAGGCCTTTTCCCAGTTGTTATTTAGTGGTATTCCAACAACACAATGAAAGAGAATTTAACATAAACTGACCTCTAATTAACAGTAAAAGACACATATTACAGATTTGGAAAGGGGAGCAAAAATAGTTTCTTTCACTCACTTTTTCATAATAATTGGAATCTGAATATGACAAGGGAACAGTTAAGCAGGCAGCCAGTGCTTGAGGTACAAGTCAGATGTACGACTCAAAAGAGTAAACTATAAACTGAAGGATCTATTCATCAGCTGCTTGACTTTCAGACATCCCACATGCCAGAACCATTTCTATTATCTTTAGAAAGCCAATACACTTACTTACATGGCTACGTTTTATTCTGCTACTGCTGGTTGAAATGAAAAATACTATGATAAGAAAAAAATGGTGATGAATTTATACTATGTAATTATCTGTCTTAATGTACACGATACGTGATTTTCAAAGGCATTATTTCAGTTCTGCCTCCAGAATTTAAGTAAATCGACATTGACATAAACAGCACCGGGCCATTCCCTGCACTCAGTCAGGCAAACATTTGTAATGGATGCACCAGGCTACATCTGGGCAAAAGTCTGCAATGTTTTTCTTCTGAGGAGCTCCTTGAAGTGTCAGTAACATCTTAAGCAACTGCCCACAGGTACTTTGTGCCACGATGCTGCTGTGGTAGCTGCATTGGTGTCAACATTCACATGCTATTCCTGACGTGAATGGCACGCTACAGGGCTACAAAGCCTTACAAAATTTGAATGGCCCTTAGCAAAACAACAAACCCCTCATATACTCAGAGTCTTCAAAGACATAGGTTCCAACAGAGAGAAGGCAAACCTGTCACACCCCCTCTGGCTATTTCTACTCCTTATTAGGACAAAGTGAAGTATGCTCAACAGACCAGGCTAATGCCCCTTTAGTTGGCCTCCATTCCTCAGACTATGAAGCCACACAAGCTCTTGGCTGCCTATGTGAGATAGCCCACGTGGTTTTATTTATGTACATAGCTTAAAAGTCATAAGCTGGTCGCTATACTATTTGAACCCTTAAACCTCCTTGCTTGCTCTACTGTGCTTTTTCACTCAAGTTCGCTTGCACATCAGCAAACTGGTATTAACATCCTGTGCTGCTGCAGATGCCATTTCACACAGTGCAGCCAGCCTCTCATCTGAGTTTGCACTAACATACAAACTTGTAAAATCCATTTGATCAGTCAATTGTAACTCGTGACTGCAGCTTTGTACAAATCTTTTCATCACATTCAGCAAACATGAAAGCTTCCCAAGCCAAAACAAATAAATGAACTTAAACATACAGCTCTACTTGCCAGGCAGCTGTCATAGATGAGGCATTAAAGATTGTTAGTTTTTAACCACTTCTTCCTTGGCGGGGAAAAAAAAAAGGAAAAAGCATGCCAAGATTATGAACCAAGATTAATTTTATAGTCATTTTTTGCTTTGGGAGATTTGGCTTGAAATTATCATGGGGACATATTTAACTATAGATTTTGTCTTCATCAAGAACTCTTATTTACACCAGAAAACAGATGAACTTCAACAAAAGCAGAACAGAGATTTTGTCTTAAAACCAGTTTTAGTTCCTTATCACCAAGAAGCACTAAGGAATACAAATGTAAGTGTAAAACTGAGCGAGCCCCAAATAAGTTTTACATAATACTTCAATGCAATTGATTCTTACTCACAGTGCACTTCCGAATAACCACATTGCTCTCCACCAGGAAAGAAAAATATTTCAGCATTACGTCTGTAAAACTGTGCTCTTAGTTACAGCTACTGCTTTGTCAATTTCTGTTTGACTGTTTTGAAAGAAAACATCAGCAATCTCTGCTAGCTTTGGAACAAAATCAACGAAGTGTTCTGTCCAACACTACTTCAGTAGTGCTTAAAATTGTGCAAATTGTAGCTTGGCCCTCCAGCCCCATCAGGCAAATGGAAACTCATCAGAAAAATCACAGACACATGGAAGAGACCCAGTGCTCTCTACTTCACACAGACTAAGCCCAGCAGACAACGCAACCTCACCAAAACCTGTCCTTACGTAAGCGGGTGAGGTAAACAACGAAATAGGAAAGGTGTCTGAGAGTACTCCTAAAAACGGGTATCTCATGCTAATAAAAACACCTACAGTGCACACTCTCTGCCTTGATGGGTATAGGCAGAGCTTTTAAGTTGTTATTTGCCTGATGAACAATACAATAGCAGGATGTGCTGTTGGCTTTTCTGCAGTCTTGGTAAGAATAATTAACTTGCCCTACTTTCAGGCAGGTAACTAAAATGGATACCACTCTCTGAAGTTTTAATCATAATTTTCTACGGGGTCATATGGGAAACTAGTGAAGAGATAGAAAACTGATTCATACTACTAATAAAGCATAGAGATTAGTTTTAAAAATAGGGACACTTCTTAAAAAACAGGGCATTTCATTCGTAAAACTCACCTCTGAGACATCAGACAGAAGGCGTAGTGAAGTCGTGTCTTCAGGAAGCAGCTCAATCTGGAACACAACAAAGATTTCAAGGCGAGGGATCACCTCTAGTGTGGGAACGTTCCTTTTCTCTTCTTGCTCTGGATCCATAACCTCAAAGAGTCATTTCTTTCTACTGCCATTTCACTAGCTCAACTAACAACTTGGCAAACCGCATCTACTCCAGTACAACCAGTACAATCAGAGTGGAGTTCTACTCGTGACAAAAGGTTACCCTGTTACTTCAGCACACAGGTTGGTCACTGTCTTCAAGAGTGGGATTCTCAGTTGTTTTGCTCACTTTTCAGATACCAGAAATGACAAAACTGGTAACTGTTTCAGCTGAAGATTCTTCCAATCCATTAGGCTGTTCTTCACTTCTATTTAGATCTTTTTCTTCAAATGGAAATTTGGAAACAAATGACGCAGCATCCACTAAACCAGTTGAATCAAAACTGTGGACTATTTGCCCATTCTATGTTTAAGTTGGTAGAAAAAGTAAAAATGATTATTGTATTTCAAGTAAACTTGAGCTACCACAGCTCTAAATGAAATTTTTAACAGCATTTGGAAATAAAAGAAAAAAAAAAGTGTTATTCTAATGAAGAAACTCTGCAAATACAGACATTTTTAGTTTCCTATGAAACATAAAATAACTCTCTAATTTTATTATTCCACCAGGGCACTTGATTCTTAAATAATGATTAAAGAAATCCAGTTCTTGTAAAAAATTTCACACTATCATCATGGTTCACCTTCTCAGTCTTGCACAGAAATCTGGTTTTGTACAAGTGAATTAATGACAGTAATTCCCTTGCTTCTAAACTAAGCATATATTTCTGGCTTGACCTGAAAAAATAATATTCTCTTGGGTGATTATGTAATCATTTCATTGAACTCAGTATTCCTTTCCAATGAAGATGAGAATTGTATTTTCACAATTCCAAGAAAAGCAGAAAGATTAATCACCGTCTGAAAAACCTCCACATTTATATATTTATACTTGCATATCTATGTAAATAACAATGTGCACAACCATAAGAAAAAAAGAAACGGCAAAAGACACCATAAAAATCATTTATGAAGTTTTCAAAATCCTGGGCTCCCTATTTCTGCCTGCCTGCACTTGCATACGATAGAAGGAAGCAGCTTTTGAATAGCTTTTCATTTTATATTTTAACCCTCTGCCTTCATTTGTTATACCTGCTCTCGATTTCATGCATTCCTTTCATGATGCAATGTGGCAGCTTACAATTAACGAGAGCAGAATCAACGTCGTAACATTAATGCATAGACTCATTTACCTTCCACCCTGCAACGAAAGATGCCTTCAAATGAAGTCTCAAAACTGTACAGCTTTCCCCGTGAATGAGAAAATTCAGATTTTTGTTGTTAATCCCTTAGTTTTGGACCACAACAATTCTTAAAAATTACTCCCCAATCTCCACTGTTCTTCAAGTAAATTTAGTTTACCGAGTTGTATTTGTATGACACGTAGTTGTGATACTCAAGGACTAAAATCCAGGTTGATCTCTTCCTTTTCTACGTGGAATTTTCAGGAAAGAAACAACACAAACTTATTTCACGCTCTTTTGTGCAACAGCTCATTTTCAGCCTTCAAACCGTAATTTCATGAGCTAAATAAACACTGAATTTTCTTTTTATGCTTTAATTCCCCACATCACGGGATTTAAAGAAATGATTTTTGCTTTGCCATCTAATGAAGTTTGGTTCTAACAGGAAAAAAAAAAAAAGACAACAAAAACAACAAACAACAGGATTTGCTACATCAGCCAATAATGACAACAACTTATCTTCAGCTTCTTTATTTAAAATCAATTTATATATCAGTTAATTTCATCCATAAGAAACTGTTCTCTGATAAAATCCCATTGTATTTGACTGGCAAACCCCTAGCTATTTTTATTTTAAGAAAATAATACACCTATGTCCCACAAATTATGACTGAGTTTAAACAAAAGTACGTCTCTCTTAATTATATAATGAAGACAATGCCACAGAAGTATATAACAAATCTATAGAAAATTCAGAAAAAAAAAATACAGAAAAATAGAAGTCCATAATGGGTTTTGCCTCAATCCAAAATTATTTACTGGAAATAAAATAATAAAAAAATGCTTTTTAATATAAATAAATACATGTTTTTATAGATGAAATGTATCTGAAACATGAATTTTTCTGTTTCATAATTTCAAACTATGCAAAAATTCAAAATGATGGGCTGTGTTGGCAAAAAAGTTGGTTACAAGAGTCTTTATTTTGCAAACTATACAGAAACAGTAAAAAATAAAATGCAGTATACTTTTCAATATCACATAGGATAAACATTAAATTTTGTATTTAATGTGTAAAAATTAATTCAAATAATAAACTGATTTTCCTTTTAATTACTGATGGGAAACCAGTAATCCAGTTTTGAAATCATACAACCTGTAGTATTACATTATACAGGTCAAGTCAACTTTATTGTGGGCAGAAAGCAATAGATGTGATATGAAGATGGCGGAGTCCCAAAGTTTCTACACAATTAATTAACATGCTAACATAAATACAGTGATTAAAGAAATTTTCTCTACAGTCAAATCTTAAGTGCTACTCTACACAATAATTATGATCTAATCCACATGGTAGTTACATAACAGTAGGAAAAAAAATAATCTGTTTTCTTCATTCCAGCAGCAGTAACCTATACTGGCATTAATTTGGTAATTGGGTGTGCTCAGCTATTGCCTAACAACCTATACTGGTATGCATGCTCAAGTCTCTCTATCTCTATTTTTGCAAGGCACCTTTACAATACTTTCGCTAAGTTTCTGCACTAGTAACAGAAAACAACATGAGTTAAGATAAAGATGCAAAACTATTTCCTGAATTTAGAAAATAAAAGGTATAATTATGCACTTTTTAAAAACGATGCTGGGCCAACTGTCAATACTCTGAAACACAGTCATATATAAAGGTAATATCATTTTACTCAATTTTTTCCCCATGTTAACTATTTTACGGTAATCTGATTAGAGAGACATACTGAAAAACAACAAAGGGTGAATTAATGTTTGAGTAAATAACCTTTAAGCCTAGACAACCTCAACATGAAAAAAAGGAAAAGAAAAGTCAAGGAAATGTTTAATTTACAGAATTAGTGCTCGTCTGTGAGACTGCTTTTGAAAAATCCCTTCAAGAACCTAGCCGTGTCCTATTAAAAAACAACTCCAAATGCAAACACAAATGAGGACTTCGTTCATTTTTCCCTCCTGTTAATTTTCCTCCTTACCTTTGGTTAATTAAAGGCTGGTAAGATGCTACTTGTGCATCAAAGTTTTTCTCCTGCACCGTGTTTTTCTTGTATTAAGCAGGCAACTTGCAAAGCCTGCTGTGCCTGACAGAACTGAAGTTACAGTAAGTGTCCTGAAGAGGACATGCACAGGGTCCAGGGAAGGGAAATAACTTTTCACAGAGGTCTTAAAAGAACTGGTCTCAATAGTGTATTTTCTACATTATATCATTTATATGTTCAGTAGCACATAACATTTTCTTCTTCAGGCTACGCTTCCAATGTGTTTTCTTCAGCGCAAAGGCATTTAAAAACTCAAAAGCACATAATATAATTACTCTTATTTAAACAAAAAAGTCTATGACTCCAGCTGCAATGTTCGAAATAATCATACAAAATATACACATTTGTTAGAATCCTTTTGATCTTGAAGAGCAAAGGGATTTTGTGAAATGTCGTACTGTGAATTTTAGAAAGATACAATTCATCCACCCTCCTAATATCATCAAATATATCCATCGTGATCATCGTCGTCATCCACATCATCATCTCCTTCATCTTCATCATCGTCATCAATTTCATCTTCATCATTCATTATTTCATCATCATCATCTTCATCATCTGTCCAGTCATGGAAATCACCAGAAGCAAAATCCCCTGACGTCTCTAAATCAATAGCTGAAAAGGCATGAGAGTTACACAAGAGACACACAAACTCTATCATGCATTCATAGAATAATATGTACCATATTTATAAAGTAATATTCATAGGCATTCGAAAGAGATGCAAATTATTTAGTTTCAGGAGAATCACTTACTTGAAAAAAAAAACTTTCACACAGAATATAATTACACAATAAAATATAAACACTATCTTTTTCTTTTTTGTCTTACAGGAAATCCACAGGGATTTTGTCTTACAGGAAATCAGTAGGGATGAATTCCTCAATTTTAATAAATAGAGATGAATGTCATGGACTTGCAGAAATATAATAAGTTCCAGGAAAAGGAAAAAGGATTTAAGTCCTACTTACAGTTCAAAATAAGGACTAGTGACAAAATAAAGTTTGTTTCTCAGTTCTTACATATCATCTTTAACTACCTGGAATTGTACAACTACCCAGAACTGGATTAGATGGAAAATTGGCCTGAACAGGTATGTCAATTGCTGTAACACTGATATGTGTTTAATTTATCCAGTATTTCAGGCTACGCTCCCCTGCAAAGGAAGGCAAATGGAGAAATGCAATGCTTTAATTGCCATTTTTGATGTCTTGGACACGAAATAAAGGTGGAATGGGAATTCCTGGAAGTTGCAGGGCTTTTTAGAGGAAAAAGGGAAGACTTCATGTGCTGAAAACTTCTGGAATTCATTCCAGCAAAACAAAAAATCTAGCATGCTGATTACCCAAAGAGATGTCACCAAGCATTTCAGGGTATTTGTCTAATACTGTTATAGATAGTTAATTTTCCCTAAGTTTACCTACACCATGAAAAGTACAGACACGAGGTCTATTAACAACTGTCACAGTCATAGGAGTTACAAAGAACAAAGAAATAAAAATCACAAATTGTATTTACATCAAAACCCACGTAGTTGCATCCCATGCCTGTTCTTTGTGAAGAAATTTTTTTCATAGCCTGGTTGGCCACCAAAGCACATAACATCTCCAAATCAAGTCCACAGAAGTTTCTTAACTTACCACATTCTGCCACACCGTTTGTTCTGGATCCTGTTACTTCATTGCCATATCTGTCAACGCACCAACACTGCCCTACACTTCCATGGCACTGACTTGGTTTGTAATATCCATCTTCATCACATAAGGGTATGTACTGCCCTGGAATAGAAAAGTATCAAATACAGACATAAATGCCCCTTGACCAATGTAAAAAAGGTCACTTTCTTCTGCCAGATTCTGTTAAGCAGCAGTGACTGATAAGCAACAGAGTACTGTGGATATCAGCTTTGAACTGCTTAGTCTCATCTAAAATCTTTCATTTTGGGCACTCTCATTTTATTTATTAGCTTAAATTCTAATTATACTGCATTATATTATGTTATCTCACATTCCACTATCATATTTAGTAAATTACTTTTCTCCCTTAGCTCGTTGCTGCTGTTTTCTTTTTAGGCCAATCTCCCTATCTTCTCCCCTTTTTCCCTTCCCTCTGCCAGGATGTTGGTCTGCGGGTCCCTCCAACCCATTACTCAAGGAACGGGGCCCAACCAGCCCAAGAACAGTGACAAGTAGAGACGTGATCATGGACTTATTCTGTAAGGCACTGGCTTTCCTAAGGCTGTATAAGTCATGGCTTTTAATTTACAAGGAAAGACATCTTTTTGAAAGGAAGTTAAAAAATGGACAAACAACATTGTACAAAACACTTAGAAGTACACAGTTACTTGAAACCATCCTTAGCAGAAATACAGTTTTGACTACTTTTGGGTCAAGCCTTTTATTGCAGCTTTCACACTGAGGCTAAGAGCAAAACGAAGATCTTGCATTTTAGTGATATTAATACAATATATACTGATTAACAAGAAAGATTTCAATTGCTTAAAGAAGGATTCAAGTAAGGATCAGCAGAGACACTCTATAACCATAAAAACATACTTCCTATTAGGTTAATAGAACAGACATTATATCTTTCAGTAGGTATGGTAATAAAACTAAGTTTAATAGCTTTCAAAAACTTCATAAATTTCGTTAGTAGAATTTACTGTTCTCTATCTTTGCTGGATTAATATTGATTTTATGTTGCTGTTTCACCAGGATTATTTATGTAAGCAATAAAACCTTCAAAAGAATGATCTATGGCTCACCTAGGAGCTTCTTTCCTCCTTGCTGCTTCTGAATGTTGCTGAGTTCCGTCTGGCAAGGTGGGTCTAAAAGGACATGAGAAAGGTTGAACATATTACATGGTATCTAGGAAGAAAAGCATATGGCTAAGTTTTCACAGTTTGCTACATTCTCTAACTGCTGATCTTAAAAAACACACAGCTCTTACCTTAGCAGTCACATTCTCAGCTCTGAAAGAGAAGAATTAATCCAGCTTGCCACAGCTCTGGAATTAGGAAACTAAGCACAACCACGAATTAGAGCAGAAAGCAACTGCCAGTTAACTCAGCTGTAAGTGAACATCTGGTCACTAGCACTGACCATTTCAAAATGTTATAACGAAACAGTAAATCTACCACACCCTACTTCATCAGTATACAGAAATCGGTCTCACTCTTTCATCTCCGTTACAAGTCATGTTCAAGTTCTGAACTTCAAATACGGCATTAACTACGTAAAAATGTTCTTCACTGAAATTTGCAAGACTGGGGTTCTACTGCAACAATTAAAGACAAATTCCATGGGCACGAAGCTCCTTGTTTAGCAATCTAGTTAAAAACTGTGCCCAAAACTTCAGGTAAGAGGCAGAAGAGGTAATATGATTTCCATTAGTCAGAGAGATAGCTCTGAATCATTTAATTTTCTGCTCTCTATAAAGTCAGAGTACATTCCATGAACGGGAAGGAAATGAGACACAAATACACATCCATCACTGCTGAATAAATTTTGAATCCAGATATTGCATACATTGCACCACTAGCACGAAGGTATTTCTCACTCTGAAACAGTATTAATATTCATGGGTTTACTCACATGTGTGTCTTCAGCTCTAAGTGTTCCCAGACTATATTCTGATAACATCTCTACTAGAATCTCACATGCTATTAAGTTCATTTTTCATTTGAAGACACTCTGGTTATTTGTAATATATCTTTTCCATGCTATTTACTCAAGGCTTCCTTGTGAAACAACTTCTGTCCACGCAAACAGAAAACAAATCTAAGTTACTTCAAGATCAGTAAGATCAGCTTAGCTTTGGACACACTAGCAAAGGACCTTCTGAGCAGAAATCAGTCACTGCGTAGGCTAAAAAAACCCCACTTTAGTGGTCCAAGTCCAAAGCAGCCTTTCTTGAATTCCACCAAAGGAAAACAAGTATTCTCATCACGTAGTCAAGAGAGAAAGAATTTGGAATGCAGCTGGGAGAAGCAGAGGATTCACAAAAGGGTGAAGGACTGACAAAAAAGTAATATCCAAAGAAATCTTTCTGGCGGGAATGCTCAATCATTAGTGATAATTACACAGAGTAACTGGATCAAAAATAAATTCATGGTCAGTGCAGAGTCTCATCATCAGCATAGCCTGGATACACCAATAGGCTTTTGAAACTATTAATGACATCTTATCTAACAGAACAAATATAAACTGCAAGAGATCAAAAACCGCTCATTAAGAACCACTTGTTAATTTTTCTTGGCTTTATACTTTAAATCTCTTTACTTATCTCATACACTAAAAGATACATACAACTTTAGACTGCCCTCAACTCGAATGATTACAGCCATTCACACAAAGAAGTCCCACAGATCAGAAGGATCTATGAAAGAAGATGGGAACATGCAAATGAAGAACTAGCCTAGCAAGAAGATACATCTACTGTGTTCTATGGAAAAAAAAAAAAGTAAATTACAAATGCATTCATATATTTTATACAAGTGACAGGCTATGCCTACAAAACCCCTTCAATTACAGCTACAGATCAGGGAGAATTAAGAAAAAAAAGAATACCACTAATCAAAAGGTAACAAGGCAATCATGAGAAGCTACTTTACACAAAATTCTTTATAGAAGCTAAGTCTTCAAGATACACATTTAAGATTTGCTTCTCAGGATAAAAGTGGCAAAACATTCTTAGCAATTAATATTAAAAACACTCTTGTGCTTAGAGCTGTCAAGAAAGTGGCAGGCTGGAAGCTCAACTGGTTTGTTGCAGTTCATAGCTCATAATTTTTCAACCCTTCCTGAATGATAATGTTTCCCTCTTCATTTTCTTCCACGTAGTTCGTGATTTTTGGAAAAGCTTTCTTCTAGGTTTCTGAACTTAATTCAATACAAAGCAGATTCAGAGGAAAACCAGCCTTGGGAGTCATGACCAAAGAAGATTTATTCCGTACAAAAATTATTGTTGAGTCTTCCTTTGAAATTGAAATGAATCTGACATCAGAAAAGCCTTTCTGATAGCCTGAATGCAAACAAGAGACCTCACCATCTCCATCCTCAACCTATTTCCAGCAACGTGAAGGAATTTTCTGACAAAATCACTGCGTTGTTCTGAGTGATTTATGAACCACTTACTGGCCACCCACGTTTATGCAGTCATCGAAGTACTGATGTACACCAGAGTATCTCACGTTGTTAATACTGGACTTTGAGACATCAATATTCAGCTATGTCAAAAGGTGGTGCAGGGCTTGTATGATAAAGCTTTGGTTTACAAAAAGAGGTACATTCACAAAGCAATGGGAAGAAAATTGATAGATGTGACAAAAAATATCTAGGATACTTAACAGTAATGCCTCAAGGAATTGCTGCTCAAATAGCGAGCCTCCAGCTTTCAGATGCTCTATCTTATTCAATTACAAAACAGATTTTCCAAGCATAAGTAGATAATATTTTGCAGATCCCCTAGTTTTTGACATGAAAGTTGTCACTTGTGTCTTGCCTCCAATTGCAGTCAAGTATATATAATTGATTATGGACAACTGAGGCTCTAGCTATAGAGATTTGAAGTGGTCAATACTGCACTTCCAGAAACCTTCCTGGAGACCTCATTTATACAGCCCACATTATACCTTCCTCTCAAACCACGTACGCTCGTATTTAATACCCTGCAGGCTCAAGAGACTGATGCAACAAATAAAAATCACAACATTTACCACTATTCTGCAAGACAAACTAGTTTGAAGGTCACAAAGTAGTTTTTTATTCCTGACAGGCAGAAGAGCCTGTAGAAAAAAGACATCCAAGATAAATGCTAGACTAACAGACCCACACAGCGGCCTGCAGTAAATAAATATCTATGTTCCAAGCATTAATACTCCCAGTAAAAGTGGTTACTCTCCTACTCTATTTTCAAGGAGCAATGAAAACAAACAAACAAACAAACAAACAAAAACTTGTAATACTGATAAAGTACTAGAAGAAATAACCAACCTGTAAAGAGGCCAACAGTGAAGTGCCTCAGCATTCAGTTAAGAAAGAAGTGTTAAATTAATGTCAAGGACCTAAGAAAAAAAGTTCTGAATCACTTGCATCAATGTTTGTTGAAACCAGAGGGCAAGAAGGACCAAAACAGGTGGGAAGACAGCAGAGCACTAGAAAGTCCAGATTCTGAAGTACTGCAGAAATGCTGAGCTGCATTTACAGCGGGATAAGGCCCAGAAAAAAAGCAATATGCATCGCTGAGCCTTATGTAAGAAATTAAGCAGCAGCCAAAGTGGGAAAGCTTTTACAGGAAGAGCAAGACTGATGAGATTTGAGTACTGCAAAAAATTACTTGTATTGACTAGATGTGAGTACTGTGCAGTAATGGGGCTACTGTACTTTGACTCACTATAATAAAACTCGAGCAAAAAGAAAGCACAAAGAATTGCAAGTAATTGTCTGATCCAAACAGTCATGAACTGATAAATTAAATGACACAGTAAGAGGCCTTCTCACATGATGACTTCAGCAAAGATTATGGAATTCAAAAATAGTAAAATACAATTTCTATCCCAGTATGATACATATCATTTACTAAGTTTTGTATTCACTTCAAACTTGGTTAATCAATACTTCCGTAAAACTCTAAGTGTACCCAGAAAACACCTATCAAGTTCAATGAATAAGACAGTTGCCTTCATGATCTGAAGCCTTCATCTTATTATAGTGAACATCAGAAAGAAAATACTCAATTTCTCTACCTACCCACTTCCTTACTATCTGCAGCAAAGGCCTAGTAAAGGGCCTTATTTCTATTCTACTCAGGGAGGTAAAAGATAGTTAAACGGTGAACATATTAAAAGATGCTACAACACAATAAATAGTGATTAGATAATTCAGTAAGTCACACATACTGCAAGTTCTAACGTTGTGCGAGACAAGAAATGACAAAAGACTACAAGCACTCAGCACTTTTTTCTCCTTACACCTTTAGAAAAAACAGATTGTGTTAAGTGTTAATTAGAAGAACTATGTTGCCTTCCAAAGAATAAAGACGTTTATTTATTAGGCTCATTTGGGGTTTTGTTTATTTTAAAAGACAGCCAAACAAAACACTCTATGTTCTTTACTTAAGAACTACTTTGCTTGGGTAATGTTTGATTGACTAATTTTGGTAGCACTGACTACTTACAGAAATTAATATTATTCTACAATAAAGCAAGGTGCTTGAAAGATTGTTAACTTTTTAGTGGTAAGACTACCAAAGGAAAGAAGGAAGTTACTATACATCTAAAGAAGTGTAGTTTTGTTTTTGCTCAAATCTACTCAACTGCTCAATGTTGCCTGATAGATCTTTATTTCCACAGAAATCAGAGCCAAACCATAGGTAGTGAATGTTAATGGGAATTTATCATGGAAGTTTTAAAAGGGTAAGATATAAAAAAAAAGAGATATTAAATTTCAAAAGCATTGAACAGTTTCTGAAATTTTCCACTGCATCATCAATCTTCCCTCCTGTACAGTCAACATCTGTAGAGATTTGGATCGGAGTTGCTATTTATCCCTTTGAAAATCTCCCTCATTTCAGCAAGAAAATTGAATGGGCAATTCTATCCAGTTTCAGCCAATATTTACTGAGTGAACTCTGTAATTCCTCACAACTTGTTTGAATATAACTCACGTGATGACTCAGCCAAATCTAAAAATCAATACTTATGCACTGTGTTTATTTGTTTAAAAGAGCTCACATCAAGACTTTAAAAAACAAAAACAAAAAGATTCCTGCAGGCAGTGAAAATCAACTGGTTTTAGGTTCAAATGACTGAAAAAAAAACTTTATCCATGATGTTAGTGTAGTAATAGGCTTACAAAAAAAAAAACAACCACTAAGATGCCCTAGTTTAGCAATGAAATGTTTATTTTATAACATATGCTAAGTAGATAGGGAAAGAACTAACGTGAGTGATTCTATTCTTTATTTTGGTCTCCTTCCTCTGTGTGAATACCGGACATCAGCAGGTAAAACAATACTGCTGTAAAAGCTTTTGCCACTCCTTTGTACTTTATCCTTGAATTTCCATCAAACTCTTCCATTTAGCTTCTTTTTCTCCCCATTTTTTTTTCTTAGGTATTCACAATAGATCAAAAAGCTGTACACAGATTGATAGCATGGCATTGAAAAAGCTTGTAGTTCACCGTAATAATCTTCCTATGTTAAAGAAAAGATGGAGCACTACAGTAAGATCAGTCATACAAATATGCAGGCTGTTCTCATCTTTTACCTTGCTGTCTTTGGAAGCAGTAGCACCACTCATTGTTAGATATCAAACTATCCTTGTATGTGTCACAGGAATTGAAGAACGCCCTTGTGCACGGCTCATTCTTGTCAAGGTAAATGCTTCCAAGTTCTGACTGGTCCAACAACAGGTCGTAGTTCGTATCAAGCCTGTTGAACATCCAGCCGAGGGAGTCTTTGCAAATTGGCAAAATGCTGGTATCAAATCCTAGAAGCCAAAAACAAAATAAATCAGGTAACAGGAAAGATAAAGCAGGTACTGAGCTCAGCCACCACAAAAGCACGCTGTATCACAGACACTGTCCCAGTGCTACGAGGGTACAGCACACAAGCAGCGTGCGCCACTGAAATTCCATGTGTAAATTTCAATTCATCTTCATTTTTAAAAAATCATTAAGTTAATCTGCTTAAAATAAATCCTGTCATCATTCTCAAAACAGTTAGGACTATGAGCCTTCTTGTCAAATATTACACCTATAGCACGCATAGTATGTGCAGTAATCAACAACCTATGATTTCCTGGGAAGTAATTTTTTGGAGAAATTTAGTGATGTTACACATCAGGAGAGGGAAGCAAAGCTGAAGTGGCACACAAAGTTCACAAAACTAATGAAAGACTAAATACCAAGCAACTTACTGGAGTACACTTGTTTCTTCCCATTACGTATATTCAGCTGAATGAAAACGGAACTTGATATGGTCTCAGCAATGCCTAGAAAGTTCTGGTATCCGAGCTTTATCTGATGCACTGTACGTATCAGGGGAGGCATGCAAAAAGGGACTACTAAGAGCAGCCTGTTTCCAGTGTAAGATCTACCTGTACATCTTGCTTAAACTGCTCCCTGGTAACCAGGCCACCAGGAAGAGGTTGAATTAATTACTCCTGCAGCCAGATCTCAGATTTCACATACTCTGTATCAGCTGTGAAGTACAAGCAGACTTGCATATGGACATGGAAGGGAAATGCATGAGCTGACAGGCCTCTCACTTAGATGTGAGCTGCGTTTAACACAGATTTTTTCCTGTTCATGTGTCACGGGTCTTGCCATGATGAACACTTGACTGTACATCCTAACAGACAACAAGATTTAGCTGAATACAAGATTCTACTGAATAGCTTTTCAGCTAAAACCAAGCAATGAAAAGATGAGACTGTGGCTATAGAGAAGCTGATGCGAGAGTTCCACTTAGCATACAGGAATTCCCAGCTTCTACTATTGTTAAAAATCGAGCTGTTGTTCTGAAAACAATAAAATCCGAAAAATAGTTGTATACTTCTAAAACAAGTCAAACTAGAGAATTCAGAAACCTGACTTAGAAATCAATTTACATTTCTTTAGATATATATGCATGTGGGAACATCCAGACTGTGGCAGAGCAACCATTTCAGAAAGGAAAATGCCCAAACACAAATTCCCTCTCCCTAAACATTCTAAATAAATGTCTTTTGCTTCAGTTAATCTTGCTCCCTGTTGGCTTGTTGCATTCACTGTTATTTCTGCTTTATAGGAAAAAAAAAAAAATCACAATCCTTTTGGTACTGATTACACTGGTATGTTTAACACAATGTAAAAACAACTATGAAGCATCCAAGAAAAGGACACTCTTCCTTACTCTCCAGCTTCTGACAAAACAACTTAATTTTTCTGTGGACTACGGAGAGCAGGGACAGACAAGAGCAGACCAAATGTACAAGGGTATCCCAGTACATGTGTTATTCACCTTCACCTGTGAAAGACATCAAAATTATTTAACAAGTGTTCCAAATGTTCCAAAAGAACTTCGGAATGTTCTTCCACTTTAAAACATTTTTTTCCAAGGATGAATTTTCAGTATAATATTATTTACCTCTCAGGCTCTGTTCCTGAAGGCCTCTTAACACTTCCCAGACACTTCTCTTTCCTCCGCTAGTCCTGCTTTCAGCTAGAGCTCCTCCACAAGACACTGGATTCAGAAAGTGCTTGATATGAAACATACCATTTCCTATCCTGCCTTTTGTGTACCTGTATGCAGGGAGGAATTATTCTTGTGCTCATAAAATTTTTCTGATTTTGGAATTTTTGCAAGCTCACCAGACTGTAAGAAAAGTTGCAGAAAAAGAGCAACCATGAAGAGAAGACAGAGACTTCATTCAATAAGGTGCTGGCAAGAATAGAAGACAAAAGTCATTCTAAATGTGTATTCAGGGTTGAATGTTGTTGCCAAACTAGATAACGGTGCAGAAAAGTACATCAGTATGTGGAATTTCTAGCATCAGTCTAGTGAAAGAGTCACCATTCTCAAGTTTAGTACGCAGTATATGTGGTCCATGCTGGAATAATAAATTCACTCAAGTACACCCTTAAGTATACTACCTTAGAGGATACTAAGAGTTCTTTTACTTATAGAACACTTGTTCCTAAGGAAAACAAAAACAACCAAGCACTCTGGTTATTTCATTTCTAGTAGTCAATTTCAATTTTTATCATAAAAGGAAATAAATTCGTCTGAGGTACGTTGAAAGGCCACTTAAAATTTCAAAAGTTTTGAGCATCACTAAGTTACGGTGTGGAATAAAATTGCATGACTTCAAGAGGTTGTATTCGGGAGGTTTTATCCATAAGCTAGCAATTTCAGTTCATCCTCTACTCCAATTCCTCAGAATTTTCTCTCTTCTATACAGCTTTTATATTTTTAAAAAAAGTGTCCAGTAGTGAAATCCCTCTGGCTTTCCAAGATAATTCCGTGTAACAAAACTTCATAGGTTAGTTCAGTGCCTGAAAAATAACGTTTATTTTACATTAAAGCTGTCATAACCTACCTATTCATTAGTATCTGGTTGAAAAAGACCGCCAAGATCTTCTTTTCAAACCATCAACCCATACCCACCACACCTGCTGAATCACATCCCTCAGTGCCACATCTCCCCTTTTCTTCAACACCTCCAGGGATGGTGACTCCACCACCTTCCCAGGCAGCCCATTCCAGTGCTCTCTCCTGGTGCAACCTGAGCCCATCACCTCTCATCCTATCGCTATTACCTGGGAGAAGTTGTCCTATACCTTGTTACAAAATCCCTCCAGGTAGCTGTACACTATTATTTAAAATTCTTCCTTTCTTTGGTATTTACAATCGTAGCATTTTAAATAGAGAAAAATCATATCTCTTTGCTTTCATTTTGCTAAATGCAACAAGTTTCCTTGCAGTGTTGTAGAGAAACGTTTGAAGTCTATGTCAAATACTAGTATAGGTGAAATAAATAAAAATGGCTGAAGTACTTAAAAGTAGACCAGGCACGTGTTGACAGAGACAAAAAATGACCAAGTTAAAAACGAGCTGTCCACCTACTCTAGAACTGTTCTACCACACAAAGAGATCATTACCCGAGTTTGGTGTTCATAGTATCTACTCTTAAAAGATTACTATGATGTCAAGTAAGCAACTGGGAAAACTTGGGATGATCATTTCATTCTGCAATGATTTTCTACCTCTACTGTAATATTGAGAAATCAATACACCTCTTATTCTCAAAGGTGACAGACTTCAGAAAAAAAGAAGTCAAAGCACTTAAGAACACCTGATGTGGTTTGACGCAAGGTAAATTAACATTAAGTGACCCAGAACGAGAAATAAATTGCTCCAAATCACAGACTACCTATATTTTTACTTCACGAGTCAAGTGGAATGCTGCTCTTACACATTTTTCACAGCTGTGAAGAAAACAAACCGAAGAAAGGAGAAGAATTATTACAGCAAAAGGATAGTAATTTCTTCCTGTTAATGTTCCAGAATATCATGTTGAAGAGAGCAAAACTGCTGCTCAGATGCCTGAATTAGTGGAAAAAACTCTCATTTTAAGCACTTATTTGAATTCTATTTCCAGATATGATAATGAAGAGGGCTTTCATGTAGCTATTTCTGAACATTGTGTAAATCTAGTAAAAGTGAACAAAAGAAGTATTAAGGATTTAGCTTTATTTCATCTAATGCATATACTGCAAAAGAACTTGATTTTTAAAAAATGGAAAGTACCAGCATAAGCTCCTTTCCCCAGCCAAAACAATCCCAAGGGAAAGGCTACTGACAAACGTACCCCTCGCTCATGGCTTAAACATCAGCATCCAAAATGTTATTTTGAAAGAAACCAACAAAAACATGATCCATTTCTGATTATTTTTCAGGAGAGAATTTCAACTCACGGTAATCATAATCTGCTTTTCAATGTAGAAATATTATTTGCCTTGGTTATTATGCTCATAAGAAATAAATCCTTGTGTACGTTGAGGAAGATAGCTTTTGTAATTGTTTATGGGGAAATCAAAACAGCATACACACGGCTCACATAGTGCATTATGTAAAGTTGCTTATATGCCAAGGGAAGCAAAAGGCGTGATTCTTTCTGCTACCAGCTCACAGTCCAGCACAGTAAAAAGCACTGCCAAATCACACGAGTGAATAAACTCAACGTGCTCTATGCTTGAGAGCAAACTGCTGTCTAAACCACAGTCTTTATTTGCTCAGCTAGCAAGCTGCATAGCAAGGTCCACACTTGTGATTTTATTTTTTTTATCATATATAGGCTATGAGAAAACTTTATGTTAACAGTACCTCAGAGCTGAAGTCTACACTGCACAAGCTGGGAATGACTTTTCCTTCCCAGTCTAGTTTTACCAGAACAGATCTGAGCAAGGACTAAACTTAAGAGAGGTATGGGAACTGTTGAGTTATGGCCTGAACCACTCATTGAGTATCTGGGGAAAGGATGGGGTCAGCCTTGGGAGCGCAAGCAAAGGCAATTCAGCTGTGTGACCAGAAGGGGTGAAGCCTGGCTGAACCTAGACCTCATTACAGGCTGACTGCCAAACTGTGGAAGGTGCTCTGGTTGGAGATGCCTTCTTAGTGGAGCTTTCCCCTCTGCAAACCTACAACCTTCTGATACAGGTGAGCAATCTTCCCTTCCTTTATGGCACCTTTCTATCACGCTGGTCCTTCTGTCATCACACCTCTAACTCCTTTCCCATCGTACTGGTCTGTCCAATTGCTACAGGGGACAATTTAGCAGATGTGAAGGCTTTTTGTCACGTCTGCTGCTCACAAAAAATACTGCTCTAGTTGAGACTCACCTGGCACCAAGTGGTAGCATCAGGCACGCACTCTGTGTAGCCTAAAATTTTAATGTATTCCTGATGACTACAATTACACAGGTGGGAGCAGAGTCAGGATTAAAGACACTGGGAAGGTACCAAAGGTACTGATTCGTTTTACAACAAAATGTGGATGGAAAAGAAATAGAGCACTGTTGCAAAGTCCCTTAAACATTTGTGAAAGTTCAAATCCTGAAGTCTCTCCTTTTCCAGAAAGTGTTTTAGAGAATTTTACACGGAAAAGGTAAAATTCCAGCTGAAGCCTATTGCGGATAGATGTAAACATGCTCCTATGTGGATGGCATAGATTAAATGAGTTCTGCAAAGGCCGCATTTTAAATAAACAGATTGTTAAGGAAAAGGTAACTGAGAAGAGAGGAATAAAATTAACAATGCTACAAAAAAACATCTATATCTGCTTCGCTGTGTACAAGAATAGTCTTGCCTGTACATGATTGAAACAAATGCCAGCGAACAGTACAAATTTAGTTCGTTTAGATTCTTGATTTTAGGTGAACATGCATTAATTTAAAATTCCAATTCAGATGAGCTTCTGAGTAGGCTAATCTGACAATGCAGAAAGTCCTTGAAAGAGCCTTTTCCCTCCAGGAAACTTAACTGCAACTTCGATTCAGCTCACCAGCCTCAGCAGCTCTGCAGTTAGAGGATACTGGATACTGAAAGATAACATCAGAAAGCAGGCAAGCTTTCAATCAAGTCAGTATTTTCAAGACATCAAAAACAATGTTTAAAACTAGAAGCTCCATCTCTTAGAACTACACAATGACTGCATGGGAGACATCCATAGTAGTAGTGGTTTACCAGTCTGCTTACCAGTTCTGCCTATTTACTGAAGTTCTGAAATACACTTCAGCAAGGAGGTCCAGGGACACTTAATTTCTCTGTATGCCAACTGTATCACGTCTCTTCAAGAAGAAACTTCAGATACTTAAAATGAACTGAAGACCTCCACACAGATATCTGAAATTACTTATTTGCATTATTCTATATGAAATCAGTCAGATATTGCTTTGAGCTTGTAGAGTATTTGGCAATTTTAGTGTAACAATATCTCTTCATACCAGCTTTAGACAAGCCATTTACAGTTAGTTCTCTTTCAGTTTTTTTTGTTGTTGTTACTTATTTTGCGTATTTTAACCAAGTAACCACATTATTACCAACTCCTAAGAATATTCCCTATCATCTGGCCTCTAGTCTTTCAGTTCCCAACATTACACGGTGTACAAGTACTCCTCAGAAACAGACTGCTAACACAAATATTTATGGGACTATGGTATTTTTTATGCTTTACATCTGCTGCATTAATTCCGCAGAGTTTTATCTCACAAAATTAATACAGAAATAGACTAACTTTAAATCGATGAGTAAAATCAACTCTTTACCTCCCTATGCACAAAGGAAGGACATAATGAGTATGACAGGGCAGTACAGATAAAGCACCCTTTTCCTGCTTACGTCATCTAACCAGACCATGAATGTGAAAAGGGAAAGTATCTTCTTCTTATGTACCATTTATAATAATGATACTTCCAGGGACATACTATCTGAATACATTTGAGCAGAAAACAGATTTTGGAAATTAAATTTATTCAATTACTACAAACATTCTAGCTTGCACAACTAATATGATACAAATCTAAAAAAAAAAGTGTCAGTTAAAAACAAACTATCTAAGTCCTGGTAAAAACACAACATCGTAGATGCTTTATGTTTTTAGCTTAGTATCAGAATATTGAAGCTTGTAATGGAACAGTAATTTCAGCACCAGTGTTAGGGCTGTTATGAAGCAGCAACCATGAATGTAACCATCAATGTGAACTTTAACAGCTGAAATAATCCTAATAGAGTTATCAGCTTTCACCCTCTCTACCTTGGTCGGAAGGACTGTGCCCAAGACTTTAAATAAATCCTGTCCCAAATGCCAGAAAAGAGACTGAAACAGGTGAAAAAAAAACAACCTAAATGCAAACAGACATCCAGGAAGGATGTCACAAACTGCTTTTTAAAATTCAGAATCGTTTCTCAGCAAAGAAGGAACACTGACAAGAATAAAAGCCTGAGGGAGAGCGTGCCATGACAGATTTTTAACTCCTCAATGGTAGCGAACAAGTCCAGGGTTCTGCTGAAATAATTAGGACTATGAATGCATTCAAGCAGCTGTTTTGTTTTTTTTTTTCTTTGTTACTGTTGATATGTATAGGTCCTTAACTCAGGCAACAAGTATAAGGTCTCTACATACAATCAGCAAATTCTTTGCATGATCTGTTTCTAGGCATAGCTGTTACACACCCCGAAAATAAAGGGCTGGACTTTTTAATCCTGACATCGTTAGGAATTCAGATGCCTGATATTTTCAAACTACTAAGACTTTCGAGACCAACTTCTGAGGGACTTGATCAGAGCTTATCCAGAGCTTACATCTTGAAGAACAGATGTAAGAATTTCTTAATAGCATCAGAAAGTATATTACCAGAAAAAGAACGATAATCATTCAGTATTTCTTATTTGTGTTTCTACAGGGACACAGAGGCACAATATTTCCTTACAAACTACCAAATGACCACCTGATTTCAAAAGCAAACCAACCATTCTGGATACAGGTGATCAGGACTTGTCAGGAGCTTCCTGGGAAAACAAATGCCATCGTTGTCCATGTTCTCCCTCCTCATTTTTCACCGCAGCTTTTAGTGCTGAGCATGATACCATGTGATACAGGACATCCCTTTGGTCAGTCCATGTCAGCTGTGCTGGTTTTGTCCCTTCCCAGCTGCTTGTGCACTCCCCAGCCCCATGCTGGCAGGGCAGCACAAGGAAGACAAATGTTTTTGCCTCTGTGCAAGCACTGCTTGGCAACATCTAAATATCGGTGTGCTGTCACCTCCATTTTAAACGAAATCCAAAACATAGCATTATACAAGCCTCCAGTAAGAAAATTAACTCAATGCCAGCCAAAACCAGGAAAGGCTCCTAAACAGTTTAGCTGCACTATTGACCTCTTGACTTTTTTTTACCCATCATCATTTTATCCCTTCACTCAAGTGATTACTCAGCAAGAAATAGAACTCTACGCGGTGCTTGAGCTGAACTTTAACTGAGTGACGTGGTTACACCAGTTATATTATTAGGTACATGTATTACTATACAATAAATGCTTATAGAAGCATTTTTTTTCCCCACTGCTTTTACTCCTAGTTAAGAGCATACAGTAGCTATGTGAACCAACTGGAAATATATGTTACGTTTTTCTCAGTATCAGTGAAGTAACATTCCTCAAACAGCTCTGAAGTTTCAAGTGAGCAACATGTATCTGAACTAAGCCATACAGCTCTGCTTCACGAATAAGAAATTAACTTCAGAAAAGCACAAAGTTAGGGCTTCACGCACATGCCCGTTTAAAACACAATGATAAGGCAAGTGTTGCAAGCAAACACCAAAGACAGCATCAAATAACCCAAGTAGAAATCTCTTACTGGTTCTTTCAGGCCTTTGAACAATCCTAGTCTTCTTGTTCTGAATTCCGCTTTCATGAAGTGCCTTAAACCAGTCTCTCAACCTGTTTGCGATCTCCCTAAATTCCAGGTCACTGCAAACTGAAAAACAAAATGCGAAATGTTCAACTTTTTTTTTTTGCATGCTAAATAGAACTCTTCAAATTAATTATACTTAAAGTAAAACATGTAAAACAATACAGACACATACATTCCACAGTTTGCTTTCCTTCATAAAACTCGCTTTCATTACTTAGGTCAGCCCTCACAGCCCAATTAGGGTCTTGAGAAATAAAATTATTACATAAGTGTAAAAATATTTGTGTGTAAAAATGCATGAAATATATCTATAAGCTGATTAAGTCATTTGCAAGCTACTGCTAAGAACTGAAACAGCCCTAGCAAGATATTCTCACATCTTACTCTAGAAGGCTGCGTGATGAATCCAGGACAGCCTTTCTGAGGTCCATTTCTACATTCAGTGGGCAATGGTACAGTAAGCCCTACCACAAGATGTTGGACATGTATACAGTTAATGCAGGAACACTCCCCTCGCTTTTCTACATTGAAACGTGAAGAAAAAGAAACGGTGTTGACAGAGAAGGTGCTTCAAGAATGCCCTGAAAGCTTATGTGATTGAATTCAGTTTTAAAAGCAGAAGATCGTGAACACTTACCTGCAAAAGGCAACAGACCTTGGTGACTGAAAGGATGGTTTCTTTGATGAGAAACAGCAAAGACAGAGAAAGCACACAAAACTAAAGAGACTATCTGCAGCAACAAGAGCAAATGTAGCAGAGAGCAAGAGATAAGCAGCAGACTGGCTTGAGGACTGTACAGTAATGGCAGTACTGAGGACTGCAGAAGAAACAGCCAACAAAGCTTTGCATGGATGAGACCCGTTCCTTAACTTTTAAGCTGCTGGAGAAGATAGCAAAGAGAATGTGTGCTTGGAGATGTCCCTTCCAGAAGTCTGCCCTTCCATTTTCAACTGTTTGACAATAACTGGGTATACATTTCCCTCATCAACAGGTATAATTTCCAAGCGATATCAGCACAAAACCATGCAAGAGGAAGTTCAGACTGAACACCAGTAACTAAGCTACAACCTGAGGCATCAAGGCTCCACAGCAATGATCTTGAAAGTAAATCTCTCGTTCAGCTTGCCTTTCCTTTATTGTTGTCCCAGTTTTGTCAGTATTGCACATCACGCAACAGGCTGTTGGGGTGTAAAGGCACAGTGTGCTGCAGAGCTATGCTTCTCTAGCAACCTCATGTAAGTTCTGACTCTCTGAGAAGACACACTGGAATGTACTGCATTTTCCAAGAGCCTCCCCATGATTTCCAATTCTGAGTAATTTATTTTTGGGGTGTTTCGATTTACAACTCTTATTTATTCTGTATTATCTCACATTCCTGTCAATTAGCTTCTCCTATCTCACTTTTTTCCTCCTATTCCTTCCGCCTCCTTTCTCTGGAGGAGAGAAGAGAGAAGTATTGCGTGATTATCTCTTTAAACTGCTACAACTACGTAGCAATCTATAGTTCTTGGTGACATAACTTTCAGCACACTTCAATAAATTAAACAACATCTATTTTATTTGACTAAGATAGAAACAAGTCACCATGCCAGCAACAGAAGGCACCGCTGCACTTTATTTTTAATTTGCCTAAAACATCTCAAGACTTTGATTCTCTCCACCAAAGATTTAGGTGCAATATATGTGCAGAATATATGCAAATTGATCATTAAAACTTATATTGTGCTTTTTTTCTTGTGCATTAGCACCTACCTGTGTATTTTTTTTTTTTCCCCTTGGATAATTCAACAGGGCACTAGAGAAAGAATTGTTAATGATCTATGGCCTGTATCTTCAAAGATGTCATCCTGTGACATCTGGATGAAAACGATCTTCTGAGCCAAGATCCACCTCATATGTCAAGCTCATAGGATTTCCATACTGCTATAATGCCATCTCGCATCAGCTGACAGGCCAGAATAAAGAATCTGACTTGGAATACTGACTTCTTTAATTTTCCCTTCCATTACATCATAACATGGTCTCCACTAACTACCCTTCCTAGGTTTAGCAGAAAAACTTTCAGAATTGAACCAAAGGGACAGCACTTGAGCCTGGCTATTTTGGGCTACGTCTAATTAAGGAGCTTTGGATTTAAGTAACAAGTTCTATCTCAGTAACATTAACTGAAAGAAGCACATGACAACTGCATGATGGAGAGATGTACAATTTCTCCACTTTCTAGAAGCAGTCAAATAGACATCATTAAGCTAATCCAACTCATAAGTCAATTTAGATGTGCAAAAGAAGCATTAGGAAAGGGCAACAGTGCTTTTTTGACTGCTATGTGTAAGATACTGCTCACAGTTTCAGCATCTGACACTTGCCACTGTTGTTTATAATATAACCTAAAATGGCATTTTGTGTGTTCTTGTGAATTGCTTTCCTTTCAAAATGGAATGTACATATGGCACATCTGGGGCATCAGACACATCCTGTATCAGTTCTCAGACTGGGAGCACTCTTTTAACTTCAGTTTCTTACAACCCTCTTCCCAAACTTTGCTTGAAATTTTAAATTACGAGTTCTAGATAAAAATAAAGACTGAGAAAATGATAATCTTTTTGTTGCTGTTGTTAATTTTACAGATTTTGGTATCTTGAACACAGATTATTTCCAAAAATCAAGGCAATGCAAAACAAGCTGATTATAACTGTCATTTGATTATTTTACACCCCATAGCTACTCAAGAGCTGGAGTCAGCTCTCAAACACAGCAGGTAATTACATTTACCCTATTATCAATTTAAATGCACAGTGAATTTTCAGTTCATAACACTTCTAATATGTCAAGTAAAACCAGATGTCTTCTGTAAGTGAAATATACATGAAAGATGCAGCAGAACTACACTGATATGGACAATTAATAATTTACATAGACAAAGTGTGCTCTTATCAAGCACAAGCTTATAAAAATATCACATATCTTAATATTTGATTATCACAGGTGCTTTTTTAATCAACCAACATTAATTTATTAACATTTCTGAAGACTACTTCAGCATTTCAGAAATATAAAACAATCTTATGAAAATATATACACTTATATCGTACTAAACTAGGGGAAAATAAAAGCCAAGGCTATTCTAACATGAGAATTGTAACATTTTTTAAAAAACCTTATCAGAAAATGGCATTTTCTCCTCAAAAATGACAAAGCAGAAAAAAAACAGATTTACAGAAGTATGCAAGGAACACATAAAATCAACAGAATCAGAACAGGTTGGGAGAAACCACAAAAGATCATCAGGTCCAACACACTGTACTAGGTGGAGAAATCAGATCCTTAGATCATAAATCCCTTTAGGAGAAAGAATATTAGCCACCCAGGCTGACAGACAAATTGAAGATTCTTCCTCATTTCTAAAAGCACTTCATCACATTTTGTTCCTGTTTCCACATCCCATGATTGTATGACATATAAGAACCATTCTAACACATAAAAAAAAGCAGCAAGATCATCTTGAAAACTGCAAAATAAATTCCCACTCAGCATCAAATCAAGAAGTTCTCTTTAGCTTTCCAAGAACATTCAGATTAATAGACAGCACACTTTGAAAAAAAAAAATTAGTCTAAGAAGTAGCTTTCTGAAGGTCCTGAGGAGAACAAACATGAGACATTATCACAACTACAAATGCAATTTTTTTTCACAGAAGTTGGGCTGCACAAAGTAATCCTAAGCTATGCTTAATTAAAATCATTGTTTTGTAACAAAAATAAAAATAAAAAAAACAGGTATAGTTGCTGAAAACATCGACACTGGTGTGGGGTTTTATTTGTGTCCTGTCTCAGTGCAGTACCAGCCACAGAACTCCAATTTAATAGTAACAATTAATGTGAATAAACTTTGCTCTCTCTGTAAGAGAGGGTCAGCCTAATGCTTTAGTCACTAAAACACTGCCAATGAAACAGGCCTGCTCAAGGTTAGGCTATACCATGAAAAGTTTTATTAATTAATGCTTTCTAGAATATGCTTAGGGACTTTCTGTCCCAGTGATCAGCTTCCTGAGATACCTGCTGCTGAAATTACTATATGCACTGGTATGTACTGATATAAAATAGGTCAAGATGAGGTAACTCAGATTTATTCAGACTATTATTTCATCTGATAGACTGGGAGATGAATCTTTAATGGCGAAAGACAGACAGTAAAGGTTGTAGAAGGTTAGACAGTAATCAGAAAACGCATATTAAATCACACAAATTCACTCAGGAACCTGCCAGGAAGTACTTCTGTTTTTGTCTAATGTCAGGGCAAGGCACTTCTGCTATTCCAATCAATTCCAGCAGCCATTAAGAGAATTAGTATGAGGTAAAATGAAGCCACCAGCTCAGGGGTTACTAGAGCTCCCTGTCATCTTAAGTATTAAAAACTGACTGAATTTTAAAAACAACTTACATAGCTAAGCAAAAACATGAAGGGATTTGAAAACTTGTAGATACCCAGTCCAGAAATATCTTTATAGTATTATTTAAATATCACGTGGAACCAACTGTTCCATTTATTTTCACGTATGGTAAACGTTACAACTTGTGTGGACATCTGAATGTATTTTACTGGTTTGAACTCGAATATCATAGAACGGCTTGGGTTGAAGGGGACCTTCTGACACAGCAGAGAAAAAGGTATTTTAACAGTGCATACTTTTCATATAAATAGATACATATATAAAGTTATCTGGAATTCAACAAACGTAAATCATTATCATATTGAAAAACGCACACTGAAATACTGTTATATTACAGATAAACTTCTGTTAAGAGTCCAAAAGCAATCTGGGAGAAAAATAGAATACATACACCCCACGCTACTAGCATCATTCACAACTGGACAAGGAACCATAAACCTGGAGACAGAAGTTGTGCCTCTATTTACTTTAGGAAGATGTACTTTGACCTGAATTTTCAATATAGCATAACTACTTACAAACTCAGTTCTAAGAACACATCACCTGACAGCTGTGAAGGAAGCCATACAAAATTGAAGGCATTATTAGCATATAGTTTAATATAAATTTGAGTT